GGGGAGTGTGTCAGTATTTACAAGGAGTCCCTGGGGAATGTGTCAGCATTTACAGGGGGACCCCGGGGGAAGTGCGTCAGTATTTACAGGGGGTCCCTGGGGAGTGCGTGTGTATTTATAGGGGGGAATGTGTCAGTATTTGCAAACGGGGCCCCTGGTTTTTAAGAAAATCCCTATTTGAAAACTCTGTCAATTATGGATGACAGTTGCGTCCCACCTTGGCATTTTGATAGGGAGACAGGCAGACTATTGGTTCGTCAATGAATGAACAGCCATGTTACCCAATGAGAAAATTTCCCAGAGCAGGATGCCATAGGACCAGACGTCACTCTGGACTGTGTAAACACAATCGAAGATACTCTCTGGAGCCATCCACTTCACTGGGAGCCGTGCCTGAAAGCCAAAGGACAGGTGATGACAAACACCGAAAGAGCAAACAGGAGGCAAATTTGGTTTATGACAATCAGACCGTGACACGGGGGATCAAAGAACATGAGAATAAGAATTAAGCACTGGGGTACCACACTCAGGCCATGCTCCACCATTCGTTACTATCATGTCTGATCCTCTGCTTCAATTCTACTTGTCTGTCTGTGCAGTCTCGACCTTGAAAACCAGAGATATCAGAAACTCAGGCAGGGTAAGTGACCTCCAGAGGATAGATTAAAGTCTTTAAGACATCAGTCTGTGTTAAGAGAGAATACTGCCTCGAATAATGGGTTATATTTCCCCTTTCAGCTGTTATTCTTTTTTCCTGATGTATCATAGAATCCCTACAGTGTGAAAGCAGGCCTTTCGGCCCAACAAGTCCACACTGATCCTTGGAGCATCCCACCCAGACCCATCCCTCTACACATCCCTGAACACTGCGGACAATTTAGCATTTAATTCTGGTCTCCCTGCTATAGGAAGGATGCTGTGAAACTTGAAAGGGTTCAGAAAAGATTTACAAGGATGTTGCCAGGGTTGGAGGATTTGAACTGCGGGGAGATGCTGAGTAGACTGGGGCTATTTTCCCTGGAGCGTCAGAGGCTGAGAGGTAACCTCATAGAGTTTTATAATATCATGAGGGGCATGGATAAGGAAAATAGAGAAGGTCTTTTTTCCGAGGGTGGGGGAGTCCAAAACTCAAGGGCATAGGTTTAAGGTGAGAGGGGAAAGATTTAAAAAGGATCTAAAGGGCAATTTTTTTCATGCAGAGGGTGGTGCGTGTATGGAATGAGCTGCCTGAGGAAGTGGTGGAGGCTGGTACAATTACGACATTTAAAAGGCATCTGAATGGGTATATGAATAGGAATACTGCTATTTGGAATACTGCGTACAGTTCTGGTCGCCACATTACCAAAAGGATGTGGATGCTTTGGAAAGGGTGCAGAGGAGGTTCACCAGGATGTTGCCTGGTATGGAGGGCGCTAGCTATGAAGAGAGGTTGAGTAGATTAGGATTATTTACATTAGAAAGACGGAGGTTGAGGGGGGACCTGATCGAGGTCGACAAAATCATGAGAGGTGTAGACAGGGTGGATAGCAAGAAGCTTTTTCCCAGAGTGGGGGACTCAATTACTAGGGGTCATGATTTCAAGGTGAGAGGGGAAAAGTTTAAGGGAGATATGCATGGAAAGTTCTTTACGCAGAGGGTGGTGGGTGCCTGGAATGCGTTGCCAGCGGAGGTGGTAGAGGCGGGCACGATGGCGTTATTTAAGAAGTATCTAGACAGATACATGAATGGGCAGGGAGCAGAGGGATACAGATCCTTGGAAAATAGGTGACAGGTTTAGATATAGGATCTGGATCGGCGCAGGCTTGGAGGGCCAAAGGGCCTGTTCCTGTGCTATAATTTTCTTTGCTCTTTGAAGGTTTTAAAGGGATATGGGCCAAATGCTAGCAAATGAAATTAGATTTATTTAGAATATTTGGTCAGCATGGACGAGTTGGACCGAAGGGTCTGTTTCCTTCCTAAGAACCCTTCTGAGGAAGGGTCACTGGACCCGAAGCATTAATTCTGATTTCTCTTCACAGATGCTGCCAGACCTGCTGAGCTTTTCCAAATGTCTGTGGCTGTCTACCACACAAGGAGACACACGAACCCACAGATCTCTGTTACCATCAGACCCTTTGTCTCTATTATACTCACGTTGCCTTTGACTACATAGTTGGAATCATTCATGATGTCTCTTGCTAACCCAAAGTCGCAAATCTTGGCAATCCGTCCCTCGGTCAGTAAAACATTTCTTGCGGCCAGATCACGGTGAATGCACTGCAATAAAAAAAACCCAGAAACCATTCACTCTCTCCCCAATATGAGCCCCAATAACCCAAGACCATTGTTTCAGACCGAGCTTTACAAGTAAGTCAATCCTCCAGTGAGAGAGTCAGACACTTCCCATTACTAACTGAAAGGATTTTTACCATCAGGAAGAGACTGTTAGATTCTCAGGGTTACTCCCCATCTCAGGCTGAAAAACCCAAAACTAGCCCTCAACTCCATTTCTCAACGTCACCATATCCCTCAATCCCCCTTACCCACCTTCTTGCTATACCCACTTAGTCAAAGGAGATAGGAAATCAGGGTATCAAGTAAGATTATGGAATATGAACCATGGAGCATCCTTCCCTAATATGTAGCCTGAGGGTCCTGACTCCAACTGTAGTGTCTCCACTAGGGTGTGACCACTGGCTTATCCCAGACCAGGGAATTGAGCCTGAGCCTTAGGAAGTGTTTGTGGCTCAATATCACACTGGATCCACTCAAAGGACAAGATTTTCCCTTTGCTGAAGCAGCAGGGAGGGGGCAGGAAGAGCAAGTAATCAAATGGGTTGAAACCAGGGAGATATCCTGCTCTTGCCCACCAACTAAGTTCTGGAAAGGAGGAATCATGGGTGACATTCCTGACCCTACTGATTAGGGCCGTGAAATGATTAATTCATGACCCCAATCCCTAGGTGTTGAGAATAGGGACAATCTTCCTGACTGGTGAACAGAGTGGCCGGCTTCACAGGTTGGGAGAGGTGGGCAGGCAGAGAGCCTTGATTTGCCCCAATCTGGGGCTGATCAAGACATGGATTGGGGGTAAGGCAGTGGTCACTGAAAGCCAGTGCCTGTCCTTACCTGTGAATCTCCTGGCCACCCCTTCTCCCCAAAACAGCATCCTGTGATTCTGCACCCCCTCCCCAAAAGGTCAATCACCTTCCCACTGATCTTGGGCTTCAGTTGATGATGGGGTCACTGAAGAGGCACTGCTTCTTCACTGCCCCTCTGAAAATTTGAGAGATTGGGGGCTAGTGGTCTCACTCCTAAAGACTCCCTTACCACACTTAAATGAAGAAAGAGAAAGTCCCAGCCGTTGAGTTCAATCTGTACTACTCACATTTCTAGAGGACAGGAAATCCATCCCAGTAGCAACTTGGTAGGAGAAGCTCAGAAGGTCCTCAATGTTCAATGGCAATGAGTCTTCATCTTCTGTTTGAAGAACATGGTCTAGTTAGAGGGGCCGTCAGTGAGAAGGATAGATTTTTCTTCATAATCTTTTGGTTGAAGACCAATAAGTGATAAGGCAACATACTATCCACATCTCAATCCTATAAAGAAATTTTTACAAATTTCCTTTCACAATGAAATTCAAAGTATTGGGGCAAACAGTGCCAGAAGGTATGGACTCTGAATAAACAATTGGTCTCAAAGAGACAAATCTCCAGTTGAACAGTGGAATAGGGCTAGGCTGACAGATAAATGTTGATAAAAAGAGTATAAATGTTGATGACTGTATGATTCTCAGCATGGCTGACTGTTAACTCCCTCTGAAGAAGTCCAGAAAGTGATTCTATTGGATTAAACCCATTAACAATAGTACCGACTGACTGTCATTTCAGGGAAATTAGGATCGAGCAGTAAATGTCATCTTGTGCCAGAGACACTCTGGCCCCAAGCTGAATGTTTATGTTAAAAAGATTGACAATGACAGTTTCATACTCACCTTCAATAGTTGAGGAATCCGTTTGAGAAATCATTGGGCTCATACTGGACAACCTGGACCTCATGGGCAGATAACCCACTGAGCAGTCGCTGTGGGAAAGACAAGGCAACACCGTTAAAACAGTTTAGCTCAGGATAATGTCCCAGTTGAAATTGGAAGAAGAAAGATAGTATCAAGCTTGGTTTTCATATCCTTACAGGAGCATAGGAGGGTAGAGGGATGATTAAAGGAAGGAATAAGTGAGGTGAATTGAGTCTTTGTTTGGACACATAAGATAGGGGAAGGAGAAAGAACGAAGGTTGCCAAATTTGGTTCAGTATATTCCTGGAGGTTTTGTCACAATGTGACATGTCTCATCTACTCCACACCCTTCCTCCCAGACTTTCCCACCATTGGTTGCTGGATCTATCGATCTTGGTGTTGTCCCACCTACCCAAAAATCCATCAGCGTCTTGACTCTAAGAGCCCAGGCCTTTCCCATTGGTTTAACAACTCATGAACAAAACTGTTTAAATTAAATGGATAAGGCATTACTTCCCTTTAATGCCTTGTTAATTTATCTTTTCTTTTCTTGCACCGTGACTGGGATAGCAATATCCAATTCTCCAAATCCCCAGGTTAATTTTGAAGTATTGGCAACCTTAGAAAGAATGTGTTGCATTTTGGATTGGAGCTTAAAAGAGAAAGGAGTTTCCGGGTAGAACTGCATTTGATGTCACTAACGACAGAGGATGGTTATGATATGAAAGGGTGAAGAGAGGGAGAGCCTGCCCACCATTTATGTTACTCCTGTAGATCCACTAGGAGTATAAGGAAGGGGTTGGAAAGGTCAAGGCAGTCTGCTTTGGGCTGGTTTTTGGAGATATACGAATCAATGGGGCAAGGTAGAAGGATGTGGATATCTGAGATTAGTTTCCGAGACAGGCCAACAGCGCGACTTTGAAAATGTCAAAAGCCTATACCTTAGGGGCTTTTTGTTGTGCATCAAGTTCTTATAGTTATTCAGTGCATCGTTACAGGCCCGGTACTGGGCCTTGTTCTTCAGGAAGTTCAATAAATCACCATAGCAACAGTATTCCGTGATGACAAGAACTGGGCCTACAATTAAGAGGAAAATCCCATTAGAGAAGAGTGAGGACCGCAGTAGAGTTGCCTGTAGTGATTCCATCACTCACCTTGTTTTCCAGTTTGTATCGTGCCAAATCCTGCCAAACTGTGACCCTTGTGCTCACTGACCCAAACTGACTTCCAGGTCACAGTGCACCAATTCAAATAGTCTTGGTTAATTCCCTCCATATTTCCAAGTCTTCCTCTAACCCATGAACATTTCAAGATCCAAGCCTGACATTGTGGCCGTCTGATTTTCATCTCTTCACCTCTTGGTCTTCTGCTGCTAATCCTTTAGGCATCAGATTCTTTTCTCAATCTGTCTCTTCCTTTAGTCTGTCCATAAAACCTACCTCCTCAACCAAGCTAATGTAAACAAAAAGTACTGCCAGTGCTGGAATTCTGAAGTTAAACCTCATCTTCTGAAACTTTCCAGCTTTACGAAAAACTGTGATCCAGATAGGAATCTTCAGAAAGATTACGTGGACCCATTTAATATGTCCTTTCAAACAAAGGACACCTTGGTGAGGAAAAGACACTAAGACAATATCAACAATGTTATTCCCACAGACAGCTTGAATGGAGTCATTTGGCCTGTAAAATCTTCAGGAAGAGGCTTACGGATAGAACAAAACAGATTTTGACCTGCCTGAAGAATATTGCTCATTCGTCCCCTCTCTTCCTCTTCTCGACAATAGGTTGACAAGTCGCAACTAACATTCACATCACACAAATGCCAGACAAAAACCATCTCCAATAAGAGACAATCTAATCACCACCCTTTGACATTCAATGATGTTACCATCACTGAATTTCCCACTATCAGCATAATCGGGGTTATCATTGACCAGAAGCTCAACTGGACTCACTGCATAAACACGGTAGCTACAAGAGCAAGACAGAGGCTAGGAATACTGCAACAAGTAGCTCAGCTCCTGACTCCCTAAAGCCTGTCCACCACCTACAAGGCACAAGTCAGGAGTGTGATGGAATACTCCCCACTTGCTTGGATGGGTGCAGCTCCAACAACACCTGAGAAGCTTGACACTATCCAGGACAAAGCAGCCCACTCGATTGGCACTACATCCACACCCTCCACCAGCAGTGTGTACTGTCTACAAGGTGCACTGTAGGAATTTACCAAAGATCTTTAGACAGCATCTTCCAAACCCATGATCAATTCTAGAAGAACAAGGGCATCAGACACATGGGAACATCACTGCCTACAAGTTCCCTTCCAAGCCACTTACCACCCTGACTTGGAAGTATATCACTGTTCCATTACTGTCGCTGGATCAAAATTGTGGAATTCCCTCCCTAAGGGCATTGTGGGTCAACCTATACCATGTGGACTGCAGTGGTTCAAGAAGGCAGCTCACCATCACCTTCTCAAGGGCAATTACAGATGGGCGATAAATGCTGACCCAGCCAGCGATGCCCACATCCTATGCGTGAGTTAAAGTAAGACAACTGATCTGAGCTGAAGACCCACTGAAAGTCATCTTATTCACTCATGGAGGATTCCTGGAGAGATTTTGTTGGAGGGGAATTTGGCTAGCCATGACAATTCCTGTAAAACACCCCAGTGCCAGCAGCATGTGTGTGCTCAATAACTTGGAATGGGAATACTACTGGGGGTAATCCACGAGTTCATGAGTTTAACTCTGACTTGGCCAAAGTAATTTAAAGATTTTTGCAGTTTTTTGCAGTTTTTTAATGCTTTTTTTCTTCGTCCTCAGACTTTTATGCTGCTGTTAGTCTTTTTTGAAAGGATGGATTATTTATATATATATATATATATATATATATATATGATTGCTAATCCAAAACATTCATCAATAATCTTTTGCATCTTTGTTTGGTTAAGTTTGTTTTTGGTAATAAATCAGTTTATGTTGTTAGCAAAAGAACCTGGACTGACTAGTTCTTAATAGCGAACCTGATGTGGAATGAGACCTATATAATTGGTTTTATCCACAACCTGGTTAAAGTTAAAATTCATTGCAACCAGTCCAGGAAGAGGGTTAGAAAAGGAAACAGTTACTGCCCCCCTCTCCCCAGACTGTAGTTGTAACACAACATTTGTTCATAATTCTCTTTGAATGAGCTTTTGGTCACCTGCAATAGTAGCTTATTAGTTTTATTAATGACTAATTAATGCTCCTTGGTGTTAAATTCTGTTTGATATCACTCCTGTGAAGCACCTTGGGACTTTTTAAACTAGGCTCTAAAGTGTTGCATGAAAACAAGTTGTTGTCGCCATGCATGAATCTCAATGGTAGGAACATGAATGGCCATCTCTCACCTCCGAGTGTACAGGCTCCCAGAAGATTAACAACATGCGTGTGCTGTCCGAGGTGGCTCAGGATCTTCAGCTCTGACATCAAGGCCTCTTTCTCAGTGGAATGGGCACTGGCTGAAAGTCAAGATGAGGAAGAAAGTCAGGAAAATGCCATAGCATCTTGTGCCCACATCACATAGCTGATTATGAGAAAGACACGAGGGAGGGGGTGAAATTGGCAGCTCAGACCCTTTGGTAAACGGTTTGGAATTGGTGCTCCCGTGGTGAATGCTAGGCCTTAAATGTATGCCCCATTGAAATCCCACACCACCCAACTCTAACTCCCTCTTTCAGACAGATCTAGATAAGTAACAGGGAAAGGAGCAGATAACCAGATCCTAGGGTCTCATAGTCAAAACAGTTGAAGGTGGCAACATTAGACAAAGTGGTTCCAAAATCTGCCTGAAGTTCAGCTTGAAGTTGCCTAACTGCAAACACTGCCTGAGTGTATCCAACAAGTTTAACAGATTTCTACAGCATTAGGATATTGCAGGATCTAGCCAGACTTGGCAGTGACTGTAAATGGGGTTTAAGTTCGTTCATTCTCCCCCTCACTACAGAGAAGAGTCACGACCCGCACCATTGCTACTGGACAGAAGGTAATGATTCTCCCAGTGATGGAAGTTATTGACGGTTTGACAAGGGTCAGTTAAATCTCTTACGTTTCAGCATTTTTACGGCCACCTTAGTGGCTGAGTCCTCTGTGCCCAATCCATAGGCAGTGGCCTCGACAACCTTCCCGAATGCTCCAGCTCCCAGGATCTTACCTACGAAGAGAAGGTTTCACGCTGTTAGTTATAGGCCTGTCAGTGGAACAGGGTGATACCAACAGGGCTCAGGGTAAAACTCAGAGGGCTCAGTATTATACCCAGTGTCACATATTTCAGCTGTTTGAGCTCCGGCATTCACTCCCTAACCCTCTCTATTTCTCTTCACCCTGGGAATGCTCCTTAACATCTACCTCTTCGACCAAACTTTTGATCCTCTGTTTTAGCATCTCTTCCATGGCTCGGTGTCAAATGCTGTCACTCATGGTCACTTTGCGATATTTTACTGCGCTAAATGCAAGTTGTTTGTGTTGTCATGAGGGAATGTTACCTGGGCTGGTAGAAATTGGAGATGCCAATGGGCACTTCGCATGGAGCAGGCAAACTTACAACACTGGCCTCCTGCACCCATCTCACCAACCGCGACTTTAAATGACAGATACAACAGCACTGTCCCTGAGCCAATGAGGTCTTGTTTAAAGGCAATGGCAAAATCTGAACTCATTCGTGTAGCCAAAATTGGACTTGGTGTCACCAACCGCAACGTTAACACCAGATCCCAGTAGTTTCTCTCCAGCCCCACACTACAGAAGGATGGACACTGACTGTCTGTATTGGCCGCACAATGGCTCAGTGGTTAGCACTGTTGCCTCACATCACCAGAGTGTTGGGTTCAACTCCACCCTCAGGTGACTGTGTGGAGTTTGCACATTCTCCCCGTGTCTGCGTGAGTTTCCTCCCACAGTCCAAAGATGTGCAGGTTGGGTGGATTGGCCATGCTAAATTGCCCGTAGTGTTCAGGGATGTCCAGGCTAGGTGGAGTAGCCATGGGAAATGCAGGGTTACAGGGATAGAGAAGGGAGATGGGTCTGGGTGGGATGCTCTTTGGAAAGACTTGTATTGGTGTGGACTTGACAGGTTGAATAGCCTGTTTCCACACTGTAGGGATTCTATGATGATTCTAGCCCAATGACACTACCACCACAAGCCTCCCTTGCCTCAAACCTTGGAGTTGGAGAAGAGGAAAGCAGAATAAAAACATTTGATTGTCAATGAAAAGCACTTTGAGGAGATACTGTCCATACCAAAGCAGAGTTTCTCCCTGGGGAACTCCCATTTCTCATTGTACGGGAGCTGGGTGGGATCAATGAAGGTATAATCATTCCCGTTCACCGCCTCAATGATCTTCCAACGGACCTCATAAGTTGGTTTCTAGAAACACAAGAGGTTTGATGATAAAGAATGAGTTGGAGTGTTTCCCGATTGGAAATCAAAGAGTAAGGAGATATGGTACTGACCTGTTTGTACTTGTAGAGCAGCAGAAGAAGGAAGATGAGCAGTAGGATTGCTACTGCTACTGCACCCGAGAGTAAAGGAGTGAACAGAGCATTTGTGACAGGGTGATCTGTGGAAGTATAGGACAAAAAGCTGTTTCAAACAGGCATCCAGGATCCTCCAGCAAGAATTAGCAGCATAAAGTACAGTGGGCAGACCTCAGCTGGAGTACAATTCTGGGCACCACATTTTAGGAAATATTTCAAAGCTCTGTAGGCGATGCAGAAGAGATTTACTAAAATGTACCAGTATAACATAGATTGCAGAGGGAAATGGGTAGAGAAAAGCTTTGATCATCTTAATCACCTTAATTGTGAGGCCATGATCCTTTTAAATTTCATGGAATCATTTAATCAGCATCTCTCTGGTGAATCTGCACACCCCTCCCTACCCAGCGCCAATATCTTCCTTCTGCGTTGTGTGCAGGCACCAGATTGGAACACAAGGAGCCAGGTCTTCCATGAAGTGCCAATCACTATCCAGGTTATTGCCCTGTACCTACTTTCCAATACTTCAATGCTTCCTGTTTCTGGATGGGTCAGAAGTACAGAGTCACTGCTTCTCACTGACCTTGCAGAAGCAGAAGGAAAATAAGAGGGAATGAGACAGAGAGGGAGAAGACCACTTCCCTTTTCTTTATGGCACTAACTGCCATAAGGTTAGTTTAAGTGCCCCATGTCAATGTTCGTGAAGAAGGCAAATGGTCTGTTGGCCTTCATAGACAGGGGATTCAAGTACAGGGGCAGGGATATCTTGCCTCAATTGTACAGGGCCATTTGTGAGACCACACCCTGGAGTATTGTGTGCAGTTTTGGTCTCCTTATCTGACAAAGGATGTTCTGGTGATGGAGGGAATGCAACAAAGGTTTACCAGACCGATTCCTGGGATGGCAGGGCTGACTTATGAAGAGAGACTGGATCAGTTAGGATTATATTGCTCGAGTTTAGAAGAATAAGGTGGGGGTGTCATGGATGCTTATAAAATTCTAGTAGAACTGTTTAGCGTAAATGCAGGAAGAATGTTCCTTATGACCGGGGAGTCCAGAACTAAGGGTTACAGCCTAAGGACGCAGGGGAGGTCATTTAGGACTGCCTTCACTTAGAAAATGGTGTGCCTGTGGAATTCTCTGCCACAGAAAGTGGTCAGGGCTAAAACATTGAATATTTTGAAGAAGGAGTTAGATATAGTTCTTAGGGCCAAAGGGATCAAAGGGTATGGGGCAAAAAGTAGGAACAGGGATGATCGGCCATGATCATATCGAATGGGATAGCAGGCTTGAAGGGCCGAAGGGCCTACTCCAGCTCCTGTTTTCTATGTTTCTAGTGAATGAGGGAGTGGATGATGGAGTGAAGGGGCAATGTAGTGGGGTATTGTAGCGGCTGAGATAGGTCGTAAAGTATGTAAGCTGGGTGAGGTAGGTACCATAGGAAGGTGAATGAGTGGGCAGGTTTGTCAGAGGGGGTGCAGTTCTCGGACCATGCCACAAGGGATAGGCATGTTTAGAACTAAACAAGTTGGTTTGGGGTTGAGGTATATAGTCAGATGTTGGGGGAGCGGGCGAAGTCAGGACTGGTCATGGTTAACAAGATGGTAAGGGAAACGTAGTCAAGTTAAGTCAAATCAAATTGGATGGATAGGAGGGTGGTCTGAGGGTCAAGTAAGGGTGTAGAGAGGGGCATCTGCAGGGGCTGGAGTGACGCTCAGCATAAATGACTGTAAGGGTTGGGAGGGGTTCAGTAGCAAGGTTGTCCAGGAGTTAAACTAGGATTTTCCTGTCAACATCTCCTGGGTACTAACTGGGTAAGTGTGTTGGATTTGTCTGAAGTTCTGACTCTGAGTACTGAAGACTATTGTGGCAGGTCCTGGGAATTAACCATCGGAAGAATAAAATCTCTTGCCAATCCCACAGAGATCCATATGTTGGGTTTCTGCAGGGTCCTGCTGTTCATCTTAGCTCACACATCCAACCTAGTGACTGGAACATCTGGGTAATTATTCTAGATGGGATCATAGAGAGCTCTGGATACTGTCACATAAACCCTCTTCATTCCAGTGTTCGGTGGTTAGCACTGCTGACTCACAATGCCAAGGACATGGGTTTGATTCCAGCCTCGGGTGACTGTCTGTGTGGAGTTTGCACATTCTCCCCGTGTCTGCGTGGGTTTCCTCCGGGTACTCCGGTTTCCTCCCACAGTCCAAAGATGTGCAGGCTAGGTGGATTGGCCATGCTAAATTGCCCAAAGTGTCCAGGGATGCGCAGATTTGCAGGAAAATGCAGGGTTAATGGAATAGGGTAGGAGGTGTGCCTTGGTTGGATGCTCTTTGGAGGGTCAGTGTGGACTCAATGGTCCAAATGGCCTGCTTCCACACTGTATGAATTCTATGATTTAGTGCACTGGAGATAAAGGACAACATTCCATTACATCTTCAATTAATTTTTATTTCTTTTTAAAATGATTTCTGCAATTGGAGCACTATGTAAATTTTCTCATCCGTAGTTCCGATCTTCTCTCCATTTAGAAAGTAACCCATTGATTGTAGGCCCAAAGTACTTGACACTTCCTCACGGAGAGGACCACTCACCAGGGATTGAGATGGAAAAGGAACCTCCTCCAGCTTTATTGAATGCGTAACATTCTAACAGGGAACCAGGCTTCACCTCGTGGGCTGATAGCACACTCTCCACCTTTGTCTGTCCGTACAGAGTCTCAGAAACAACGAATGTCTTTGTCTGGGGGATCGGGTTGTGGGGGTGAATGGTTCCATTTTCCGTGCACCTATGTTGAAAGAATAGCTTTAAGGTTTATGTGGGTTGGCTTACCTACTTACCTGCAAAGAAACTTTGTAGTGTGGTGGTTACCTCTGAGTTAGAAACACTGGTTTGAAATCTCATCCAAAAGACCATATGAAATAGGAACAGGAGTAGGCCATTCGGCCCCTCAAGCTTGCTCAGTCATTCAATACAATTATGGCTGATTCAACGTCCCTCACATCCACTTTCCTGCCCTTTCCCCATAACCCTTGATTCCCTGACTGATCAAGAATCTTTCTGTCCCAGGATTTGATGGCAATGGAAGGTGCATTTGTACCATGGGAAAGCCAGTTGAGTGTTGAGCTGCAAATCCCTTAAAAACATGTCTAATGGCAGGTGGTAAAAGTGGGAGAGATTTCTGGTCATCTACAGAAATTGGAACTGATTGGATATCTGGTGTCCATCTGTTGAGACTGTTGCCTGTAGCTCAGGGTTTGGTCTGTCTTGTAGCTCAAATCCTGCCTCTGTAGTGGAAATCATGGCGAATGCGTTCAGAACTGGCCTTGGGCAGAGAACCGAAGAAGAGGATTCTCTAACTGTATGCGTCTTACTGAATTAAAGGCACCTTCATTCAAAAAGCCAGTCTCTCCAAAGAGCATTTTATCCAAGTCCTGTTTCGAACAGGTTTTCTGAAATGCAACAGAGGTACGGATGGGGCTAGCCTGGTTTGGGAATATTTTAACATTCTAATACTGGGGCCTTTAAAACATAGGGCAGCACTTTCTGTGTCTTGCTGTCATCTGTGCACTAACTGCTTACTGCTCCCAGAATCTCCAGTCTAACCTGGCTCTGTGTGGTGGACACTGGTACCAGTGAATGGTTGGAGCAGGAAACCCACTGGCAAGGCAGTGGAATGCAGCATCCTTCTCAATGGTCACCGTTGGCTTTTCTGGGCAGAGACAGAAAAGAAAAGAAAATGTTCATTCATGCTAAACAAAAAACAATCACAGAGGCTTAAACAAAAAAAAACAAAATCACGCACAAATGTAGTGCAAAGCTGAACCGATGAGAACTTGTACCTGAGAGATCACTCCTTCATATAGCACCCTTCATATTGGAGCAACAGTGGGAACGTAACTGGACTAGTAATCCAGAAGACCCAACCTAATGGCCTGGAGTCACAGGTTGAAATCCCACCGTAGGGTCTTGTCACATTTCAATTCAAATAATAAATCTGGAATTGAAGGCTGGTCTCAGTACCATGAGAACTATCAGCAAATTGTTGTTAAAAATCCATGTGCTTCACTAATGTCCTTCAGGGAAGGAAATCTGCCATCCTTACCTGGTCCGGCCTACATGTGACCCACAACAATTTTTTAAAAATTCACTCACAGCAGGAGGGTGTCACTTGCTAGGCAAACATTTATTGCCCATCCCTAATTGCCCAGGGGGCAGTTAAGAGTCAACCACCAGCTACGTTGTTGACAGGGCCCCCAACTGGGTCTGACCCATCTCCCACACTTCTGCCCTCACCACCTCTCTTCCCTCCTGCAACAGTGATAGGGTTCCCCTTGTCCTTACCACCAATCCCACCAGCATCCACATCCAGAAGGTCATCAGATGCCATTTCCACCACCTCCAGTGAGATGCCGCCACCAGACACATATTCCCCTCCCCTCCCTTGTCCGCCTCTACCATTCCCTCCGGGATACCCTGGTTCACTCATCCTTCACTCCAACTCCACACCCCGTCACCGCGCCCCACATCGCCCCCCCCTCCCACCAACCTCCGGGGCCCTACGGCACCTTCCCCTGCAACCACCATAGATGTAACACCTGCCCATTTACCTCCTCCCTCCCCAGTATCCAAGGGTCCAAACATACCTTCCAGGTGAAACAACACTTTACCTGCACTTCACACAATCTAGTCTACTGCATTCGCTGCTCACAGTGTGGTCTCCTCTACATTGGGGAAATGAAGCTTAGACTGGGTGACCGCTTTGTAGAACATCTACGTTCTGCTCACAAAAAAGACCCTGAGCTTCCAGTTGCCTGCCACTTTAACGCACCACCCTGTTCCCTGGCCAGCATCTCTGACTCTGGCTTGCTGCAGTGTTACAGCAAAGCTCAGCGTAAGCTGAAAGAACAACACCTCATTTTCTGCTTGGGGACCCTGCAGCATTCAGAACTCAATAACAAGTTCAATAATTTTAGGGGCTAAACTCTCCCATGACCCAGCCCCCTATCCCACACACCAGACCTTGTTACCACATAGCCTGCCATTACACACTACCTATTGAGATCTCAAGGTGTAGAGCTGGATGTACACAGCAGGCCAAGCAGCATCAGAGGAACAGGAAGGCTGATGTTTCGGGCCTAGAACCTTCAAAAAGGGTCTGAAGAAGGGTCCAGGCCCGAAACGTCAGCCTTCTTCTCCTCTGATGCTGCTTGGCCTGCTGTGTTCATCCAGCTCTACATCTTGTTATCTCAGATTCTCCAGCATGTGCAGTTCCTACTATCTCTGAAACACACTACCTGTCGTTTGTCACTAACAGTCCCCATCAACAACTATTCACCCTCCCAGCCAGATCGTTATCAACTCCTTTTGTCTATCCATCTGCTCTTCTCTCTCTTCAGACTCTATCCTTTATCCTATTGTTTACTCCTACCCCATCCCCCTCCCTGTTTTCTGCATATAAACTGACATTTTCCCAGCTACCATCAGTTCTGAGTAAGGGTCACCTGACCCGAAACGTTAACCAGACGTTAACACAGATACTGCCAGACCTGCTGAGCTTTTCCAGCAACTTCTGTTTTTGTAAGAGTCAACCACATTGCTGCCGGTCTGGAGGCCAGGCCAGGTAAGGATGGCAGTTTCCTTCTCTAAAGGGCATTAGTGAACCAGATGGGTTTTCCCAACAATTGACAATGGATTCTTGGTCATCATTAGACACTTAATTCCAGAATTTTTTAAATTTAATTCAACTTCCACCATCTGCTGTGGCAGGATGTGAACCCAGGTCCCCGGGTCATTACCTGGGTCTCTAGATTAGCAGTCCAATGATAATACCAGTAGGCCATCACCTCCCCCACTGTGGATGACTCTTAACTGCCCTCTGAAAGGATCAAGCAAGCCATTCAGTTCAAAGGCAATTAGAGATGGAATTAAAGACTCCAAGTAAGTTGTGAGCTGAGATTTCAGGATTGTGAGCTCGATGGCTCCAGTGGGTCAAATGGTCTCTTTAGGTGTTGAAAGATTCCACAATCCCATTGCTCTGATCTCTCGCAGGAACAGCTGGGGAACAGCTGGATACTGGGGAGGGAGGAGGTAACTGGGCAGGTGTTACACCTCTGGTGGTTGCAAGGGTAGGTACAGCGGGGCCCCGGGGGGCGGGGGGGTGGGTGGCGTTGCAAGTAAACAAAGAGTGAACCAGGGTATCCCAGAGGGAATGGTAGATGCAGACAAGGGAGGGGAGGGGAATATGTGTCTGGTGGTGGCATCTCACTGGAGGTGGTGGAAATGGTGTCTGATGACCAATCTCTCCACTGCCAACCCCACCCCTAGCCCCACCACCCTTCGACCCCCAGGACTGTCGTGGAATCTCTAACAATTGAAGACTAATCTTCAACTCCTGACTCCAAAGTGAATGACTGAGGGTCAATGACCTGCAGGAGATCATTAAAGCTGGCAATGAGGAAGAGAGCAAGACTAAGAAAAAGGTACTTGCAGAAATTGGGCTGGCTGTATTTAAGAAGAAGTTACACAAATACACGTATTACAAGAAATTTATGACAATGTCCCAAGAGGTCAGCCACATGGATGGATTTAAGGGGAAGCTAGATATATTCTAAGGAAGAAATTAATGAAACAAACTGCAGGTGGGATTCAAAGGTGAAGAGTGGATGGCATAAACGTTGGCATGGACTAGTTACAGTCGGTTCTGATATAACGCAATAGTTGCATTCTCACATGACCTCGGGCTATAGAAAATCGTGCAATAAGTGATGGAGACAGAATCGGGCTATAGCCAAGACAGGTAGGGAAAGTTCACAATTTACAAGTAGCGTTCTCCTTCAATCACGTTATGGTCAATTCACATTGAAGAAACACACATTATATCAGAACTGACTGTAACTGGAATTATCTTGCCATTATCTCTCCGCCTATATATTCTCGTGTCTGTGCGCTTCCCTCCACTTCACCTGATGGAGGAGCAGCGCTCTGAAAGCTTGTGATTTTAAATAAACTTGTGAGAATATAACGTGGTGTCGTGAGATTTCTGACTATCGACTGGTTGATCTGTGCAGTTATATTGTTGAAACTGAGGCAGGATGGGGATTGAGAGAAAAGAAAACTTCAGTTTGAGAAATTCCCCAGACTAATGTAGGAGAAGATGTTTGGAGCTGGGACCTGGGCCGACCTGGTTATTGGGAAAGATTCTGGGAGAACGTGCGGAGTGATCAAAGGATTGAAAGTGGAGAGGCTCGAAGGAATTGAAGATGATTGAGGGTGAAGGGAGAGGCTGAGAAAAAGTGTATGTGGCAATGGGACACTGGTGTCTGAATCCCACTCCATTCCCCGCTGAAAGGGAATGGCTTGGTTGTGCTCCAACAGTCCCTCAGTCACTTTAGTGAGATGGTGCTTACGATTTATCAATAAATGGAAGGTCAGGGATGAGTTTGCTTCTCCATTAGATGCAAAGAACGTGTATGTGCCACTCTCGCTTTCCTTCAGCCGCACCAAAAGGAGGGAACTCTCATAGCTGCAAAATAAGAAAGGGTCACAAAGTCACAGCACTGAATCTTGCCTCTCTTCCACTCCTTTTCCCTCTCCTCCTCCTCCCCTCCACTTTTGGGCTCTTGCTATTCTGAACTGCATGACAACACAACATCTTTCCTTGTTCACATTTCAGGCATTGGATAGTGATCAGGGGCAGGGACCCTGTCTGACTGTGTTCTTCTCCAACGTAGGAGTGGTCAGACTAATTTTTTTTTCTTTATCCATTCACAGGCTGAGGACATCACTGGCTAGGCAGCATTTATTGACCATCCCCAGAGGGCAGTTAACAGTCAACCACATTGCTATGTGTCTGGAGTCATACGTAGGGCAGACCAGGTAAGGAAGGCAGTTTCCTTTCCTAAAGGACATTAGTGAACCAGATGGGTTTTCCCAACAATCAAAAATGGATTCACAGTCATCATTAGACTCTTAATTCCAGATATTTATTGAATTCAAATTCCACCATCTGCCATGGCGGGATTTGAACCAATGTCCCCAGAATGTTATCTGGGTCTCTGGATTAACATCCAGCAATAATACCACGAGGCCACCGCCTCCCGAATGGCAACATACCATTCAAACTGGAATCAGATAACTCCATGTGGGCCAAGGAAAGTGCAATGACGTACAGCACCATGCCAGTACATTTACTCCCTTACACAACATGGACACTATTTAATCTCTGAACATTGACTATCCTTCTCAATCTAATGACCATCATCATGATCGGCGGTCCCTTGCAGATGAGGATGACTCTCTTCCACTCTCAGGGTGAGTCCGTAGGCGGCTGTACAGTTAGATGCGGCTTCCGCAGACCCTGTTACTCTTGGGGCATGGGAAAAATGGCACAAAAGGAGGCCATTTGACCCATAATGTCTGTGCTGGCCTCTGAAAGAGTTATACAAATAGTCCTCTGCCCCCTGCTCTTTCCTTTTGCCTGACAAAATTTCCTTTTCAACTACTTACCTCCAATTGGCTTCTTGCAAGCTCCTATTGAAACAGCTTCCACCATCCTTTCAGCTGGTACTCACTAGGGTCATAATAACTTGCTGCATTGGATCTGTTACCAATTATTTTGACTGTGGGCCTAATAGCCATGAATTTATCATTGAGTATCTGGCCAGGGCATCTCTGGTGTTTCAATTGTCAATCACACCTTGTGATTCCCTTCCTAGCAGTATTGCTGGAGCACCTTCATCACATGCTTGTGAATGGCCATCACAGAGCAGCAGGTGTATTCCAGCAATATTTCAATCGTTAGTGTTAGCTAGACCAGGCATGGCAATGTAGACTGCAGGGATTCATGATCAGCGTGCATTCTTCATAGAATCATAGAATCCCTGCAGTGTGGAAGCAGGCCATTCGGCCCATTGAGTTCACATGAGCCTCCGAAGAGCATCCCACCCAGATCCTGTAACTCTGCATTTCCCATGGTTAATTCACCTAGCCTACCCATCCCAGGATACTATGGGACAATTTCAGCTTGGCCAATCCACCTGCACATCTTTGGACTGCGGGAGGAAATTGGAACAGTCAGTGCAAACCCACGCAGACATGGGGAGAACGTCCAAACTCCACACAGACAGTTGTCTGAGCCTGAAATTGAACCTGGGTCCCTGGGGGTTGCGGGGATAGGGTGGGTGCTGGGTCTGGGTGGGATGCTCTTTGGAGGGTCGGTGCTGACTTGATGGGCCAAATGGCCTCTTCCCTCACTGCAGGGATTCTATGATTCTGTGTGTTGGTCATTTAGGTGCCTGAGATGCACTCACAATTACAAAATAATGACTGTCACCGCTGGTGACGATCAATCGATCAGCATGCTTAGAGTACATAAAAAGATCGACTGTCTAACTCTGACAAGGGTTAAGAACTGGGTGCCATGTGTCCATGTATTGTTTTCTGATATTTCCTTAATACCTAACCTCATTGTGGTGTTATGAGGAAAGATTCTGTCGATGTGAGCCTGAGGCAGCAATTGCTACTGTGAAGCTCCCACCAAATGTTAGCAGCTGTGAGGCTCCTTTAAATCCTCACTGTGTGTGCCCTAGCTGACCAACATAGAAACACAGAAAATAGGATCGGGAGGAGGCCATTCAACCACCTGAGCCTGCTCCACCATTCAATATGATCATGGCTGATCATCTAACTCTGTGCCCTGTTCCCACTTTCTCACCATACACTACGTTCCCTTTAGCCCTAAGAACTATATCTAACTTCTGCTTGAAAACATTCAATGTTTTTTGGCCTCAACTGCTTTCTGAGGCAGAGAATTCCACAGGCTCCCCAGTCTCTGGGTGAAGAAATGTCTCCCAATCTCAGTCCTAAAATGGCTTTCCCCATATCCTTAGATTGTGAGCCCTGGTTCTGTGTTCCTTGGTCATTGGGAACATCATTCTTACATTTACCCTGTTAGAATTTTATAGGTTTCTGTGAGATGATTTCAACTCAGAGGCCTGATTGGCACTCCAAAGAAGTTCATGAAAACACACATGTTTTAAAATCCTAGTTAACAAGGTATAGAGCTGGATGAACACAGCAGGCCAAGCAGCATCAGAGGAGCAGGAAGGCTGACGATTCAGGTCGAGACCCTTCTTCAGAAATGGGGGAGGGGAAGGGGATTCTGAAATAAATAGGGAGAGAGGGGGAGGCGGATAGAAGATGGATAAAGGAGAAGATAGGTGGAGAGGAGACAGACCGGTCAAAGAGGCGGGGTTGGAGCCAGTAAAGATGAGTGTAGGTGGGGAGGTAGGGAGGGGATAGGTCAGTCCAGGGAGGACGGACAGGTCAAGGGGGTGGGATGAGGTTAGTGGGTAGGAGATGGGGTTGGGGCTTGAGGTGGGAGGAATGGTTAGGGTGGCGGGGACGAGCTGGGCTGGTTTTGGGATGACCTATCTTCTCCTCTATCCATCTTCTATCCACCTCCCCCTCTCTCCGTATTTATTTCAGAATCCCCTTCCCCTCCCCCATTTCTGAAGAAGGGTCTAGGCCCGAAACGTCAGCCTTCCTGCTCCTCTGATGCTGCTTGGCCTGCTGTGTTCATCCAGCTCTACACTTTGTCATCTCAGATTCTTCAGCATCAGCAGTTCCTAATATCTCTGTTTTAAAATTCTTGCAGATTAACATTTTTGCCTCCCTCCCTGGTCTCACAGCTCCCCTTTCCTGCCCCTGGTCTCAGTGTGAGTCACAGAAATTTACAAGCTTTGCAATGGGGTCAACTTACCTGTTGTGCTTTTCAAGGAATGTTGACTTGTGATCAGCACTATTGTTCATGGTCTCATAGATCCACTGATGCTGCTTTAGTTCAGGGTAAGATTTAATTCCCACCCAGAGCTGGAGGCTGTCCCCAGCATCTGCTTCCAGATTAGTCTCCTGATCAGTAAAGATTTGCACATACCCTTTCTCTGTCGATGCACAAGAAGGATTTAAGTTATTACCCGCAATCGACAGCCCCGCATGCGTTCCTAAACAATATCTAAACTGTGCATAAATTGTCATAAGCACGTAATTTCCAGGGTTCTGTTGCCTTTTCCCCTCAATGTGTTGATAACCTAGTGAACAAGAGTTCAAATCTCATGGGCATTTAAACTTTCATAAAAACCCAGATATGAAAATTTGGCCTCAGTTAGAGATGTTACAGCGAGGCACTTAGAAAATCATATTGCAAAGAAGCAGAGTCAACATAGTTTTATGAAAGGGGAATCGTGTTTAATTGAGATCTTTGAGAAAGTAACAAGCATTGTGACTAAAGGAAAACCTGTAGATGTACTGTACTTAGATTTCCATAAGGTACAACATCAAAGAGGGTGACAAAAACCAGGAGTTCATTGTATTAGAGGCAACAAATGCATATAGATAGAGGATCAGTTTGTTGACAAGAAACAACGAGTAGGTTTAATTCAGTCATTTTGAGTTTTGCAAAATGCAATAAGTGGAGTGCCACAAGGATCAGTGCTGGGGGCTGAATTATTTACAATTTATCACAATGACTTGAATGATGGGACTGAATGTATGGTTGCTGAATTTGTTAATGACGCAAAGTTAGGTGTGGAAGTAAGTTGTGAAGAGAACCTAAGGGGTCTATAAAAGGACATGGATAGGTTAAGTGTGGGGGGAAAAGGTTTGGCAGATGGAGTATACTGCAGTGAAACATTAACATGTCCAATTTGGCAGGTAGAATAGAAAGGCAGCATATTAAATGGAGAGAGACTGCAGTACTCTGTGCTACAGAGGGATCTGTGTATCCTTGTACATGAATCACAAATGCTTGGTTGCTAGGACAGCAAATGATTAGGAGGACAAATGGAATGTTGTTTATGAAGGGAATGGAATATAGAAGTATGGAAGTTTCGTTGCATTTGTACAAGGCAGTGATGAAACCACACCTAGAGTACTGAGTGGAATTTTAGATGTTCTTAATTTACAAAGGACATGACTGCATTAGGAACAGTTCAGAGAATGTTTACGTGACTGATTCCTGACATGGAGTAATTACCAATGAGGAGGGGTTGGACAGGTTAGACTGGTACCTGATAAGGTTTGTTGTTTTACCATACATTAGATTTTTTTTACCATAGTTTGTTTATTTACTATACTATGCTTTACTATATTTTCTGTATGTTAGCTAACACATATCACAAAACTTGGTTTCTTGTTGAACTAGATATCTTGAAGTTTATTTACAAAAATGACTACTTACAAGGCTATGATATCACAGACATACACACATAAAATCCTTACAGTGTGGAATCAGGCCTTTCCGCCCACCAAGTCCACACCAATTCTCCTAACAGCTTCCCATCCAGACATACCCCCCTACCTATCCCTGAAACCCTGCATTTCCCATGGTTAATGCACCTAGCCTACACATCCCTGGACACTATGGGCAATTTAGCATGGCCAATCCACCTAGTCAACACATCTTTGGACTCTGGGAGAAAACTGGAGCACCCGGAGGAAACCCACGCAGACACAGGGAGAATGTGCAAATTCCACACAGACAGTCGCCTGAGGCAGGAATGGAACCCAGGTCCCTGGTGCTGTCTGCCCCAGCATAGCATGGTTTGGATTCTAAGTCTGATGACATTATTATACATTACACAAACAGAACTCACTGACTACATTGACCCATTATACCAAGTGAGTGAATGAATGTGAAGCAGATACCTTTATGTCAGAACATCACATGTTGTAACACCTTAAAAGGTATAGGCCTGTCTAGTTTGGAATTGATGCCATAATGTAACAGTATCTATTGGCATTTTGGAAGAATGACAGGCAATTTATTGAAACATATAAAGTCCTGTAGATGTCTTAACAGTCCCATAGTGAAAGGATTTTCCCTTTGTGGGAGAGACTAGAACTGGCAGACACAATTTAAAGTTAAGGGATCTCCCATTTAAGATGGAGATAAGAAGGCATTTTTTTCTCTCTGAGTGTCATGAGTGTGTGGTACTCATCCACAGGGAGTGGGTGAGTTGAGGTCATTGAGTGCTTTTAAGGCACCCTAAAACTAACCTTAACCTCAGTCCTAACCTCAAAACCTATCCTCAGCCCTAACCCCAATGCTCACCCTTAACCTTAACACCAACCTTAACTGCAAAGCAAATCCCAATCTTAACCTCAAACCAAACCTTAATCTCAACGTCAACTTTTACTTCAGCCCTAACCCCAATACTTTTAACTTCAACTCCAATCTCAAACCTTAACGCCAATTTGAATCCCAAATCTTAACCTCAACCCTAACCCCAACTTTAACCTCAAACCAAACTCTAACCTTAACCTCAACCTTAACCTCAACCTTGCCTTTAACCCTAATCTCAAACTTAATCTCAACCCTAACCGCAACCTTAATCTCAACTTTGACTTCAACCCTAACCCCAAACTTCATCCCAAATATAGCTGTAATCAACATTCCAATACTTTAGTTTCAAACTGACCCTTGCAGATGATTCAAGAATCTAATCCTAGATTTGCACTAACCCTGAACCAAATGCTTAAATGTAAATCATAAAATCTCAATTTAGAAATCTGAGACTAGAGTGTTTTTTGCAAAGCTTGAAAGCCTGAAACAACTCGCTCAAGCCCTTATCCTAAAACTATCCACTTCCCTGAGCTATAAATACACCCCAAATCCCAACTCCTAACAATAAAACCCATCCCCCATACCTCAAAACATACATGGAGCCCCGTCTAGTGCAAACAAGACCATAACCTGAACTGGGATTACCATAATTGGAAGAAGAAAGAAAGCAAGCAGGAACAAATAGCATGGGATGTATATCAGTGGCTAGACCACAGTAAGAAACTCCAACTCTGGGCAAAAGATGCTCTCCTGCCTGAAGCATCAGCTACGTCTCTAAACCTAACTCTTCAATGTCACTGGTACAAGTCTGTTGTGATAATGGTTTCATATTGCAGATTGGGAGAGGGTGCAGAAGAGTTCTGAAGTTGTATTTTCAATGGGTAACAAGCATATTCATAGTCATAGAATCTTCCTGAACAGAAGGAAGCCATTTGGTCCATTGTGATTTTGCTGGCTCTTTGAAAGAGCTATTCAATTAGTTCCACACACCTGCAGATGCTGGAAAATCTGAGATAACAAGGTGTAGAGCTGGATGAACACAGCTTGCCTTCCTGCTCCTATGATGCTGCTTGGCCTGCTGTGTTCATCCAGCTCTACACCTTGTTATCTCAATTCCACACACCTATTCATTTCCCAAGGCTCTTCAAATGTTTCTGTTACAAAAATTTATCTAATGTTTTTGCTAAATGTACAATTGAATCTGCTTCTCATCCTTTTGGATATTTCACATCAGATCCTATTATCTTGCTGCAAGAAAATGTCTTGTTTCATCGATCCCTTTGGTTTTTTTGCTAGTTATCACTTTGCTCTGTATACTGTAGTTACTGACGCTCCCACCACTGAAAGCAGTTTCTCTCCACAAATAAACCTTCCTAGTTTTGAAATCTTCTGTCAACTCTTCACTTAACCACCTGCTCTAAGGAGAATGATCCCTGCCCTGCTTCAATGCTAACATTTCAAAAAAAAGTGGAGAGAAGATATGGAACCTTTTCCCATTTTGAAAGGTGACAGAGGGGTGGGTCAGGATGTAAATCACTCCAGACTATGTGCTACTTCCCTCACCTCACTGGCTACACCTCACATCCCACCCTCTGGAGTTGCCATGAAGACATTGCCTTACCAAGAACCCGCAGCATTGTCACAGCAGATCGCGTCTCCTTCGTTCCTTTCACAATGCAGGTGAAATTTCCCGAATCACTTACATTCACAGCGTCAATGTGCAGTCTTGCTCTTATAGTGAACAGATTGCCAAAGTTTCGGTGAATGGAGACAATGGCAGGCTGGCGAGAGTAAAAAATAAAACTCATTGCAAATGGTCTTTAAAACTTCCATTGAATTCCTTCAGCAGTACAGCGAAATACCATTCAGCCCACCAGAGCAGCTTCTAACGTAGACCATGTACTCCCAAGAGAGATAGTAAGAACTGCTAATGCTGGAGTCAGAGATAACACAGTGTGGAGCTGGAGGAACACAGCAGGCCAGGCAACATCAGAGGAGAAGGAAGAAGGGCCCCAACCTGAAACATCAGCTTTCCTGCTCCTCTGATGCTGCCTGGCCTGTTGTTCTCCTCCAGCCCCACTCTGTGTTATCCATGTACTCCCAAACCTTTTTTTTTGGGAACTACTCTCCCATTTGATCGCCTTCTCAGACTGCATATGTTTTATTCTCTTATGAAATATTTAGCTAGCCACTTCATGTTCTGAAGTAAACAGCGCAGGAGTAGCCAAAGAGAGTTTTAAGGTCTGTCCTGTCCTGAAGCAGATTAGAGACAGGCATGGATGGGATCTTGAAACAATTTGAAGACAAGATTTCATTCCTGTTTTAAGGGAAATGTGGTGCCATAATAGTCATGGCACTGCCTACCAATGTAGAGGCCCAGGTTATTATCCTGAGGATGTAGCTTCAGATCCCATCACAGCAGCCTGGAGAAGTTAAATCCTACTGATAAATCTGGAATTTTAAGGGTTCTTATGACACAATGGCAGTGCCTGTATCTCTGAACCAGGAGCCCCAGGGTCAAGTCCCACCTGCTCCAGAGGTGTGTAATAACGTCTCTGAACAGGTTGGTTAGAAAATATCTCAACCTGGAATTGAAATGATGGTGAACATGAAGCTATCATCAATTGACATCTGGTTCATTAAAATGTAGAATTATTCACTAACCAAGCATTAGTTAAGTCTGCCAACATTACCCAGGCTGATCCACAGTAATGTGCCATCTGAAGTGGCCTACCCAGCCACTCAGTTCAAGGGTGATTCGGGATGGCCAAGAAATGACCATGGTGGCTCAGTGGTTAGCACTGCTGCCTCACAGCACCAGGGACTTGGGTTTGAATCCACCTTCGGGTGACTGTCTGTGTGGAGTTTGCACATTCTCCCTGCGTCTGTGTGTGTTTCCTCCGGGTGCTCCGCTTTCTTCCCACAGTCCAAAGATGTGCAGGTTAGGGTGGATTGGCCACGCTAAATTACCTGTAGCGTTCAGGGATGCGTAGATTAGATGGGTTATAGGGGGATGGTTCTGGGTGGGATGCTCTGAGGGTCGGTGTGGACTTGTTAGGCCAAAGGCCTATTTCCAAACTGAAGGGATTCTATGAACCTATGAAATGTTAGCCCTGCCAGAGACACTGAAAGAATGCAGAAGAGGCATTCTAATTGCTGGGATATGGGACAAATCTGTGCCAAATGGGGCCTTCAGAAATGGTCAGTGCAGGGGGACGGCTTGGATCGGGATCCTGAGGTTGACGTTGTATACCAATCCCAACCTGTATTGTGCAGGAGGAGAAACCAGAGATTGACAAGACAGATAGGCTGGAAAGGGATAGGATGTTGGAATGAAAGTTTTTGGCCTTGTCATTGTCACTTTAATACAGAAACCAAAGCATGATTAATCAATCTGGCAATTGGATTGAATAGGAAGAGAAACATTGGAGTAGAAATAGGCCACTCAGCCCTTTGAGCCTGCCCCGCCATTCTGTATGATCATAGATGATTCATCCAACTTGAAGTAAGGCAATAGAAACAGAAATTGCTGGAGAAACTCAGCAGATCTGGCAGCATCTGTGGGAAGAAAGCAGAGTTAAACTCCTCCCCACCACCCTTTGGCTTCAGCAATAATATCGCCTTTCCTGAGCTACTAACAGATCTGATGAAGAGTCACCGGACTCAAAGCGTGAACTCTGCTTTCTTCCCACAGTTGCTGACAGACCTAGTTTCACCAGCAATTTCTGTTTTGTGTCCAGCATCTGCAATTATTTGTTTTATTTCAATGAAGGCAAGCTTTAAAGAAAATGAAACAGAAAAGCTAAAAGAATGTAAAGGAAGTTGCTGACTTACAGAGTGTGGATGAACCCATTTCACTGATAGATCCAGAGATTTCGCCTTTCCAATGCAGTCAACTGAATAGCTCTCGCCTTGCAGTTTCACCTGCTCCCTGGTGTCCAGTTGAAGCTGCAATACTGAAAATGAACAAAACTCCATTTCAAAACCATTCACAGGTTTCTCCATTGACTCCTTCGTAGTAAAAGACTCTTCTTCTCGTAACAAGGAGGGTATTTGTTAAGGGGCTCAGTCTGTGGCAAGAACCTGTATGTGGAGTGTTTTAACATGGGGGCACTGATGTGGTCCTTTAACATGGGGGCGCTGATGTGGTCCTTTAACATGGGGACGCTGATGTGGTCCTTTAACATGGGGGCGCTGATGTGGTCCTTTAACATGGGGATGCTGATGTTAAGTTACATCGTTGTGGATGACTGCCCCGCTTTTACCGTCTGACACCGGAATATGGGAGGGATTAGGAGAGGCGATGGCCTAGTGGTATTATCGTTGGACTGTTAATCCAGATAACATTCTGGGGACATTGGTTCGAATCCCGCCACAGCAGATGGTGGAATTTGAATTCAATAATATATATCTGGAATTAAGAATTTAATGATGACCATAAATCCATTGGTCGATGTCAGGAAAAACCCATCTGGTTCACTAATGTCCTTTAGGGAAGGAAACTGCCATCCTCACCTGGTCTGGCCTGTATGTGACTACAGACCCACAACAATGTGGTTGACTCTGAAGTGCAATCTGGGCAATTAGGGATGGGCAATAAATGCTGCCTAGTCAGCAACGCCCCCATCCCGTTAATGAATAAAGGAAAAAAAATTAAAGCAGGAATTTGCACATTCTCCCCATGTCTGCGTGGGTTTCCTCTGGCTACTCTGGTTTCCTTCCACAGCCCAAAGATGTGCAGGCCCCATGGGAAATGTGGGATTATAGGGTGGGAGTGTGGGTTTGGATGGGATGCTCATTGGAGGGTCGGTGTGGATTCAATGGGCCAAATGGCCTGTTTCCACACTGTACGGATTCTATGATTCTATTGAGACTTGGCAAAGTACAAGCAGGATCACCCAGGACTTTAACTGTATGCTCGGCATACAATCCAAACGCCAAAGTGATCCACTCAAAATCAAAAGATCTAGAAGGATGATGATGGGCGATTTGCTTTCTCTCAGAAATGGTGTTGGCATCCGAAACACTGCCTGAAAGGGTGGCAGAAGATGGAGTTGGACCTAAAAATGGAGAACTTACATGTAATCTTGGTCAAAAAACATGGTGCTGATTAAGTGCAATTGTTCTTTCCAAGACCCAGCACAGGCACAATGGGTTGAACAGCCACAAAGTTTGAGTGAATCAATTGCTGAATGCGTTAGTGTTTGTTTCAGTGTGCAAACTGGAAACAAATTAACAATGATTTATTTCGGAAGACTAAAATTTCTCTGATTGGGTGCTGTTCTAAATCTGCAACATCTTCAAACAACCCATAAGCACATGACCATAAGATGTAGGAGCAGTAGGCCATTTAGCTTATTAAATTTCTCTATCATTCACACAGATCATGGCTCATTGATAGCCCTCAACTCCACTTTCCTGCTTTTTCCCTATAACCCTCGATTCCTTTTCTGATTAATCTTGTGCCAGTGATTCCAAACATAGTCTACATTTGTATAAACGACTGTGAGTTCAGAATATGTGAAAAGCCATTTTATGTTTTAAAAGCCAATCAAAACGAAGCTTTCCCGTCTGCTGGCAGGCAAAATGGGTGATTTCCAGCCTTTCACTGCCTAGCACATGATGCATGTCCTTCTCCATGACTTTCCTAAAGAAAGCCTTATGCCTGTGGCCTTAATAAATTCTTCCTTCCAGATTCCAGTTTTAAACAAAGGATCTCCATCTCTGATGATACCATCGGGGAATAATGCAGAATGTGTTAGGACCTTGTGAAGTGTAGATTAACATTGATAAGGTCTTCTCATAGCCTTAATGACATATAGAACATAGAATATAGAACAATACAGCACAGTACAGGCCCTTCGGCCCACGATGTCTTGCCAACCTATTATCTTACTAAGATCAAACTACCCTGCATACCCTACATTACACTATCATCCATGTGCCTATCCAAGAGTCGCTTAAATGTCTCTAATGTACCACTGCTGGCAGCACAGCCACACGCCCACCACTCTCTGTGTAAAGAACCTACCTCTGACATCTATATATTGCTAATTTGTTTAATTATTCATTTTTGGGATGTCACTGTTGTTGGTGAAATCAACATTCAAAAAGAGGCAATTTTGGTCTTTGAGCCTGTCATAGTACCAACTTTGACTGTGCCATTATTATTCATTGTAACTGGATCCAGGGAATATAGATCAGGGATGGTATCCTCACTAGAAAAAAAACCACAGCAGATGCTCTCAGCAGGGTACGCTGGAGCAATGGAAAGTGAACTCATTTGATTTCAACACTGAGCAAAACAAATGCAGACAAATGCACACACACACACGCACACAAACACACACACACGCGCGCACACACGCACACATACGCACGCACACACATAGGCATGCATATAGTCAATGCCATTCTGCATCAAATTAAGACTGAAGGGGAACTGAAAGTCATTACATCCAAATGAGCTGGAAATATGTGAAAATGTGCCAAGAGCTGCAATCCAAAAGAAAAGCTAAGAAAAAAGCCAATGTTATGACAAACTTGAACCAGAAAGGCACATCTGAAAAAAAGTGCAATTTCAATTCTCATTTCTTAATGCCACTTCTGCTTCTGCTCTACGGCTTCCAGATTACGTAACTCTTCCTGGATCCACAGCCTGGGTCTTGCGTCATCCGTGCATCTGCCCCCAACTGGGACTCTGAGGTATCTGAAGACAAGAGGCCTTATCTGGGGAGTGAAACCTTTGGGTTTTTCCGTTTGCAACTTAAGCAGAATCTGACAGGAACATGGAAGTGGTCTGGCTTTGGGGAAGCAAGGAACTGCAGGAGGAGATGAAGATAGCTCAGAATCAAGAGACCACTACCCTCGCTCACGACCTAAATAATCCAGGAAGACAGTTCTTGTACATTAGGGAGATTTAACTGAGAGGAAATAGAGTCTTTGGGAGATTCCTACAATGATGTCAAATTACCCTTTTGTGCCTTCATTAGAATCCAGAAGAACACATGGCCTGGCCTACTTGGCTGAAATATGATTTCAATAAGCAAACTCCCTACCCATTAGTGAGCTTTGCCTTTTTCTCATCCCTACCCAACCGATGCTCAAAATAACGTCTGACATAAAATTTTTAAAAATCTTGATTGATGATTAAATAACTGAAATCATTCAAGAATAGGTATGTAAATAAGCCAATGGAGTTGAATATAAATAAGTCTGAAATGCCATATTTTTGGTAAGGTAAATCAGAAGCCAATTACTCCTTAAAAAAGAAATGTTTAAATGGGGGATTGTAGCAGAGGGATCTGAGGATACAGATATACAAATCATGCAAAGGAGTGATGCAGGTTAAAAAGAATTGGGAATCCTTTCTAGAGGGATCGAATTGAAAAAAATGAAGTTATTTTAAGCCTGCGTGGTTAGTCCATCCATAAAGTACTGTGAAAAGTTCTTGTCTCTGTATCACAAGACTTATGTAAAGGTACTAGACACTGTTCAAAAATATCAAAGGGAATTATATCAGAACTAAGAGGATACAGCCATCTGCAATGACTGGACAGGCTAAAGTTCTTTATTTTGAAATAAACAGAAGGCTGATGGTCAATGAATGGTCTGATAGTGGTTAATAGGGTAAGCTTTTTTTAAATTCATTCACAGGATATGGACTTTGCTGGCTGGGCCAGCGTTTATTGTCTATCCCTAATTGTCCAGAACACAGTTAAGAGTCAACCACGTTGCTGTGGGTCTGGAGTCACGTGTAGACCAGACCAGGTAAAGATGGCAGTTTCCTTCCCTAAGGGGCATTAGTGAACCTGATGGGTTTTTCCAACAATCAGCAAAGGTTTCATGGTTATCACTAGACCCTTCATTCCAAATTCTTTCCATTAGCAGCTAATAGATAAAGGATAAGGTAGAGGCGGGGACTTTACTTATAACATAAAAACTGACATCAATGCGTTGGGCCAAATGGACTGCTCCTGGGCTGTGGATACTTTCAAATTGCGTATCAACAGAAGATTTTCTCATACGTGTTAACAGGAAGCATGCATACACAAAAACAGATACAGAGTTAACTTCATTACTGTAGGTAGGGAGTCACGTGCTGGCCAGACCAGGTGAGAATGGCTAAACACGTTGGGCCTCTACTCATTGGAGTTTAGAAGAATGAGAGGTGATCTCATTGAGACAAATAGGATTCTTAAGGGGCTTGACAGGGTAAATGATAGGATGTTTCCCCTCATGGGAGAGTCTAGGACCAGAGGGCATAGTCTCAGAATAAAGAGCTGCCACCTTCAGACTGAGATAAGGAGGAATTTCTTCTCTCTGAGGATTTGTGATTCTTTGCAATTTCTCACCACAGAGACCTCTTGGAGAAAGTCCTTGTGTGTATTTAAGGTTGAGATAGATTCGTGATTAGTTGGGGAATCGAGGGCTATGGGAACAGAGCAGGAAAGTGGACATGAGGAGTGTTGGATCAGCCAAGATCTTACTGAATGGCAGAGCAGGCTCAAGGGGCCAAATGGCTTATTCTATTTCTTATGGTTAATTCCTTCACTAAAGGATATGAGATACCCAAATGGGTTTTAATGACAATCAATGGTAGTTTTGTGGCACTGTTACTGAGACAAGACTTAGCTTCCAGTTTTGCTCTGTGTATGTAAGTTCCACCAGCAGCAATGGTGAGATTTGAACCCAAAGCCCCAGAGCATGTGACTCGGTCACTAGTCCAGTGACATTACCACAATGTCACCATTATTCCATAGTTAATTTGTGATCCAGCCATTAACATTCAGCATTGATCACCCGGGGTTGGACCGGTATCGGTAACTGGAACCAGATCTTCATTCCTTCTCTAACACAACTGAACAACGTCATATATGAATTTCTATGCCATTGTGATGCCAGGTACATTGGCATGTTCCTTTTGGTTATTTGCAATAAGTAGAGTACAGGCTGTACCCAACCTGACCATACTTGCAAAATCCTAAACAAAACACTGACTGATGTAATCCTGCTGCTCTCGCTCAACAATGCTGAATGCATGAATAGCTAATTAACAAATTACTGAAGATAATCAGTCGAATCTGTAACATGGCTCGTTTGCACTTGCTGGAAGAGTCATACATTTATCAGCAGTGACCCATGGTCTGCAAACAAAAGGAATATGTTCAAACCTTGTGCCTCTTCTGTATAACCCGGGAGCTCGGGGAGCCTATAGTTCCCTATTGCTTTCTCCCTGACAATACCTTGGTCAATCAGAGTCAGCTTGTCAATGAATCAACATCCTTTTCTCTTTTCTATAGGTGCTTGTAATCATTTGAATTTTGGCATTGTTGAGTTAGTCCTGATGAATGCAGAATGAAACATTTCAGAAACCTGTCTCTGTCTCTTAACAAGATCCAGGTTCTGTATGATCAAGTGAATCATGTATGACTATTAGCAGAACTCGTTCCACTCAGCTGAGTAGAACTTGAAAGAATCTCAAAGCTAACAACTTGTACATCATCACTGGCATCAGAAAACTTGCCAAGAAGCCTCACAGGAGTGTTGTCAGAGAGAAACTAACTCCAAGCTATATAGTGAGGGATTAGCATTAATGTCTCAAGACCTCACTACTTTAGTAGATTTTAAGGAGAAGTTTAAAGGAGGAGAGAGATCGAGAAGCAGAGAGATTCAGGGAAGGAATTCCAGTGCTTAGGGCCCAGGCAGCTGAAGACTCAATGAAAATCAGGTTGCATAAATGCCCAGAATTGGAAGAGGGTAATCTTGGAGGGTTGTAGGGCTGGAGGAGATAGCATAGACTGAGAAGCACTGTCCATTGGCAGAGAGAAGCCTACTCAATTGGCACTCCCCTGCTGGATTTGATATCTACTCACATCATGCATAGTGGCAGCCATGTCACCATTCCCAAGAGGCACTGCAGTATCTTGCGAAGGTCCATCTGGAAACACCTCCCAAACATGTGACTTCCATGAACCTAGAAGGATGGGAGCAGCAGATATATGGGAGCACCACCACCTGAAAGTTCCCCTCTAATCCACTCACCATCCTGACTTGGAAATATATCACCATTCCTTTGCTGTCGCTGGCTCACAATCCCAGAATTCTCTCCTTTATGGATGGACATTCCCTACCGAACTGCAGTGGTTCAAGAAAATGGCTCACCACCATATTCTTTAGAAGCAATTCTGGATGGGCGATAAATGTTGGCTTTACCTGAGAGGTCTGGTTTGAAAATGCTCAGGGAAGGATATGGAGCAAGTCTTTGTAGCAAGAAGCTTTTATGAATGATATACAATATATACATAACAGAGGGAGGGCCCTGCATGAAGATCTTACTGCCAGGACTTCTACACATTGCTCATCACATAACCTAATGTTATTAGCTATCGTACCACTTGCTCCTTCCATTATACCACACCTCTCTTCAAGTATTCAATCTGCCCTGGATTCTTTGTATTTTTATTAATTAATCTGTGTCCCAGTTCCCCTCCCCAGTGCGCCTCTTATGGGGAGGTGTCAATAGCTGACCATATTCTCCATCCTCCTGGAGAATGGGAGGACAGGTGCTGTGTGTGCATCTTTTCCATCAGAGTAATAAGCAACCTTGTCTGTTCTTTTTTCTCTAGGGAAGTGTGCCATAATGGATTGTCTTCCGGTAATCATGCTAATGGAATGAACTGTTTCCTGTGTTCCCCACCTTGTTGTTTGGCTGAATTTGACCAGACTTCTTCCCGGGCGGTTTGTGTATATGGAGCGGCTGCAGCAGGGGTGGTTGGGGGACCCAGTGGAAGCAGCTCCAGTTGTGCGTGTTGTGCTGTTTCCAGGTTGGGCTCGAATTGTGGAGCACCCCGTGTTGCCAGGTGTTACTGTGTTTTGCCAGGTGTTGCCGGGTGTCGCTAGGTGTTGGTGCTATCACGCACAGTGTGGTGCCATGATTCCTGGTGAACTAGTGGGTAATTCTGCTCTCTGTGAGCTTTATTGGGGCTTGACCACCCTCGGGGGTCTGCAGCCTGCAGTTACTGAGACTCATTCCCCTGTGTATCTCTTTTGATGTTCTCCTCTTGAAGTTAGATGCAGGGAGTCTCCATCTCAGTTTCCTTTTGGTTGCTGTATGTTTTTTGCAGCAATTCTCTCAGGACTTTTGATGGCACCTTCAAGAAGTACTCTTCCTGTTGTGCAATGTTTTTCAAGCTGGCTGCGTTTGCATGGACCCCCAAGCTGGGTTCTATACTTGATGGGTCTTCCAAGGCTTTTGCATTTTTCATTCTCCTGACTAGCGATGGTTCCTCCTCAGGCACTGTATTGCACTGATGCACTTTCACCATCCCAGTTGGTCCTTGTTTTCTACTTGGGCATTATCACCCCAAGAACATCTGTACTCACATCAATACCTGAAGTGGAGTTGGTATTTTCACTTGACAATTCCTCAATGGTCATGATCATGTCTCTTCTTCAGGGAAGCTAATTATAAATTGAATAAACTTGGACCCTGTCATAGAATTATAGAACCCTACAGTGTGGAAGCAGGCCACTCAGACCATTGAGTCCACACCAATCCTCGAAAGAGCATCCAACCCAGACCCATTCCTGTACCCTATCCCTGTAACCCTGCATTTCCCTTGGCTGACCCACCTAGCCTGCACACCCCTGGACACTATAGACAATTTAACATGGCCAATCCACCCTAACGTGCACATCTTTGGACTGTGGAAGGAAACCGGAGCACCCGGAGGAAACCCACGCAGACAAGGGGACTCCACGCAGACAAGGGGACTCCACACAGACAGCTGCCCGAGGCTGGAATTGAACCTGGGTCCCTGGGGCTGTGAAGCAGCAGTGCTAACCACTGTGCTGCCTGTGTTGCTATAGTACCTCTGTGGCATTTTGGTGGTCCCACATCCCTGCCCCTCCACCATCATTCACTCACTCTTCAAAGAGCAGTGTGAGGCCCAGAGTCTCCGGTTCTGACAAATTGCCATGGTGAGTGGTTCTACATGTTCCACTGCCTGTGCCCTGAAGGGCAGCACAGCTATGGGACATCTTCCTGTGGCTGCTGGTGTAGGGCATCTTCGATAGACGCTGATTGCAAGTGCCCTCGATCAGGTTGGGTTTCTCCCTGCTGCCAGAGGTTCTGAGGTCACACAGGCCTTCCTGCTCCACAAACAGTCACGTTGATTCAGAAGGACGTGGACTGGTCTGTGAAATTTTCCATCCCTTGTGCTGGCATCTTGCGGCCTAAGACCTTCAGCGAGGTCACCCTGGACTGTGAAGACAGACCGTGGAGGGCTGGAGGAAGTCTGGTCTCAGCCACTGCATGGCATCAGATGGTACGAGATGGCCACTCCTGGATCAAGTTCAACTGTTTGCCTTGTAGCCATTGACAGAGAGATCTGCACTCCCAGAAATCTTGTGATGCCTGGAACACTTCTCCTGGCAAAGACTCTACAAATGGCTTGGAATCTTCTCTTCCTGAGGATCTATGAGGTCCAGGTGAGGATCTGCTTTGGGGGCAGAGGCTTCTTTCTATGGCATGCCATTTTGAAATGCCCTTTTCTCCCATAGCCTATGGCAGTCCATGTTTGGCAGGACATGCAGTGTCAGGAAGAATGTACTTAATTTGCAAATGTCGCTGGTTAGATGCAGACATGGAAGTATGAGTTAATACTAATTTCGGACTTACTGGTCTGATTTCCTGTTTCCATATTTAGTGAATCTCTACGTAGCTCAGTTCAACAATTCTTGGAGTGGACTACACAAGATCTGTACTTGGTATTGAGGTAGTTCATTTAGTTAATTTTGTGCTGTTAAATGGTTGGTACATGTGAGGGGAGAGTAGGTAGGCCACAACGATGCCACCCGAAGGTTGCAGGAACAGCAACTCATATTCCGCTTGGGAACCCTGCAGCCTAATGGTATCAATGTGGATTTCACAAGCTTCAAAATCTCCCCTCCTGCTACCGCATCCCAAAACCAGTCCAGCTCGTCTCCGCCTCCCTAACCTGTTCTTCCTTCCACCTATCCCCTCCTCCCACCTCAAGCCGCACCCCCATCTCCTACCTACTAACCTCATCCCGCCCCCTTGACCTGTCCATCCTCCCTGGACTGACCTATCCCCTCCCTAACTCCCCACCTACACTCACCTTTACTGGCTCCATCCCCGCCTCTTCGACCTGTCTGTTTCCTCTCCACCTATCCTCTCCTCTATCCATCTTCTATCCACTTCCCCCTCTCTCCCTATTTATTTCAGAACCCCCTTCCCCTCCCCCATTTCTGATGAAGGGTCTAGGCCTGAAACGTCAGCCTTTCTGCTCCTATGATGCTGCTTGACCTGTTGTGTTCATCCAGCTCTGCACCTTGTTGTCTCGGTTGGTACATGTTTCTGGTTCTGTGTAATTCCAGTTTTTTTCCTCTAAATCCTACTACTTGTATTTGTCCATTAACATGATCATGTCATGGTGGTCCCACACCCCTGCCCCTCCACCATTATTCACTCACTCTTCAAAGAGCAGTATGAGGTCCAGAGTCTCATAACAATCTGACTGTGCAGCAATCATCAATGGGTGGGAGAGAAAGCCATTTACTGCCCAATTACATTTCAGCACAGAAGTATTCTGCACTCTGCGTGCATGTACTTAATTAATATCAAACAAAAACGTGCAATTTTCAATTCATTTGACACATGGACTTGCTTGTGGAAGATGCTTCAAACAGGTCTTTGAATACTCAATATTTGGAGCAAAAAATGCCTTGGCTTTTTATTATTCTTACACAGGATGTGAGCATCACTGACACAGCCAGCATTTATTATCCATTCCTAACTGTCCTGAAGAAAGTGGTGATGAGCCATCTTCTTGAACCGCTTCTGTCCTTGAGACTGAGGGACACTGACATGGTTGTTAAGAAGGGAGTTCCAGGATTCTGAGGCAGTGACAGTGAAGGAACAGCGATAAACCTCCAAATCAGAATGGTGAGTGGTTTGGAAAGGAAGTTGCATACGGTGGCACTCCCATGTACCTGCTGCCTTTATCCATCTAGATCATAGAGGTTGGGATTTGGAAGGTGCTGTCGTAGGAGCTTTGGTGAGTTACTGCAGTCCATCTTGCAGACGGTAAACACTGCTGCG